TGTGATATCAGAACAGCTGGGCTCACAGCACTTAAGGTCTGTTATTCATTGATTTCTGAAACTCTTCTGTCCTCTAGTGGCCAGATATGTGGAAGGGAATGATGGGAACTGAACTGTACAGGATAGTGGATGAAATTGAGCCTGCAGAAAACCATCCCAGTCAAGTGTCTGTCTAACTTGCTTTTGAAAGTTCCCAAGGATGGAGACTCCACAACTTCTCTAGGAAGACTGTTTCAATGCTTGGCAACCTTCATAGTCAGAAATTTCCTCCTAATTTCCAACCTGAATTTCTCCTGCTGCGGCTTGAGGCCATTGCTCCTAGTCCTGTCCTCTACAGCCACAGAGAAAAGCCCATCTCCATCCTCTCTATAATCACCGTTCAGGGATTTGAAGACTGTTATCAACCCCATCATCCCCCACTCCCAGTCTTCTCTTCTCCAGACTCAAGATCCCTTTCAGTGTGTGTGTGTGTGTGTGTGTGTGTGTGTGTGTGTGTGTGTTGTGTGGTTATTCAGCCAATTATATATATAATTCAGCCAATTATATATATAATTGGCTGAATAACCACAAACCAAGAGTAACTATAAATGGACCATGGGTATATGTTATAGCCGTGTTGGCCTAAGGACATAGGCAGACAAGGTTCTTTAGGTAAATCCGATATCTTTTATTAGACCAACTAAAACAGTTGAAAAAAATCTTCTTTGAAAGCTTTCAGGTAATAAACACCCTTTTCCAGGCCTAGCAGGAGGTCTCAAGTGGGGTTCCATATCTATAGGGGTCTGTTCTTCATCCATAGTTGTTTAACATTTTTATCAATGACCTGGATGGGGGAATAGAAAGCTTCCTTATCAATGTCAGATGCCACAAAACAGGGAGGGCTAGCAAACACCTGCGATGATAGGATTAGAATCTAAAAAAGCCTGATACAGGGGAGAATTGTGACGGACAAAAAAAAAAAAAAGAAAGAAAGAAATTCAAAAAAGGTGCTTCACTTAGGAAAGGAAAAAATGAAGATATACATACAAAACAGGAAGTAACTAGCTTGACAATAGGAAGGATCTGAGTGCTATGGTTGATTACAAGCTCACCATAACTTGGTAACAGGATGTGCCTTACCCAGATCCATCCCCAGGGGCTCAAGGGACCTGTCCAGGTAAGCAGGGAAAGCCCCATTTTGCCTGCTCACTTTGACCCATCCCCTGGGCTCTTTGGGGGCAGGTCTGAGTAATTTGTGAAAGTGTGATTTCCTCTGATTCCCCAGAGATGCCAGGGGCAGGTCTGGGTAACCAGGTCTCCATGTGGGGCAGTGAGGATTCCCTGGGTCCCATGCCTCCACACACAGACCTGCACAGGCTTTCCTGGTTTTCCTTGCTTATGGGGACCACCCCTGGAGATCATGGGTGAGTGTCTGTAAGCAGGAACCCTGACTCTCCTTTTTATGGAGAAGTGGCCCCAAGATCTCCTGGATGCCTCTCTGTAAGTTGGGAAAGTCAGGCAGATGACTGCCTCCTGGGCAACTTCCAAAAAAGAGCCTAGCTGGGCATGTGCCTAAGCCACCTCAGGTACAGACAGGGGCATATTCAGGTGGGGGGCTGTATAATGGTGCACTGGCACCCCTCTTTGATTCCTGCTCTGCACAAATGTTAAAACCAACTGCCTGAGAGAAGCTGTGGCATTTCTATTCAAGCAGCATTGAGAGAGTCAACTGACTTAATAGATCATTGTCACCTATTAACTCAGGTGAAACATGATGGATAGTGACATCTTGGGGTCATTGTTGAGACACTCAAGGCAGCTAGGTTTTGTTTTCCAAATCTGAAGAAGACACGTATGATCTAGTTGAGGATGGTCCTGCTTTGAGCAGGAGGTTGGACTAGATGACCTCCTGAGGTCCCTTCCAGCCCCCAGTTTCTATGTACATTCTAATATAATAAAAGGTTTAGTCTGTCTGTCTGTCCATAACACTTTGGCCAACTGTGCATGCGCCCAGCTGGGCTGCGCAGGCCTAAGTTTGCACCACTGCCAGGGAAGTTTGTTGGCAGCAAACACGCCTTGGCCTCCTAACCAGTGGGGCTTCTCCCCTGCCTCCCTGCCTGAGGGCAAAGAGGGGTGGGAATCACTGTGGCAGCACCCCCCAGAGCAGCTGACAGGGAGGGGGAGTCAGTGGGCAAGGAGGGAGGGAGGTGAGCGGGGAGGCAGGTGGACATGGAGCGGCGGGGCATAGCCCCATAGTCTATGTGTGCATGCATGTCTGTGAGTACATGTGTCTGTCATGGGAGGAAGAGTATGTTTGTGTTTGTGCATCCATGTGCACAAAGTGAGTGAGCAGAGTGTGAATTGTGTGTGTGTATGTGTCTGTGTTCATGGCAGGAGGGACAGTGTTTTTGTCTCCATTGTAGTATTGCAGTGACTATAATTGCTTTGATTGTTTATATTGTTATTTTTCTTTTTATATAATGAATAAATTTAACCACTGAGATGAAGATAATCTTTGTTATGATTTACTCTTTATAATAATTTAATCAGTCATTATTAGTGTTCTGGAATTAACCATCTATTTTAAATTTTTTATTGCTTAGCATAAATATATTGGACATATTGGTCTCATGATTTGAGACATACTTGACCTATTGGTCTCATGACTTTAGAACTTAAATTTAGTATAAGGAAAACACTTGTGTAAGGGTTTGCAGTATGTCTGGCATACGTGAAAAGAGATAATGAAAGAATGAATGACGGATGTATGTGACAACGTGAAGGAAGACAGTCCTCTTTCAGCAGGTGAAAATAGCCTTCTGTGGTTTAACGGTTAAAGGCTGCAGTGACATCAAGTATTTGGTAATCCTTAACTGATGACTAGATCATGCTTCACCCTGATGGCTGAAGACTGCAAGCAACGACCCCCCTGAAGACTGCAGACCACAAAGCAAGAAGATCCTATCCTACCAATCCCAGTCTGCCAACAGGACAAGGAGGATGACCTTTGTGTCTGACTCAGGGGAATCCATAGGCTTGTATGAACACCTCTTACTATAAAGAATGAACACAAAGACAAGGCTTTGGGTCTTTTCCACCTGCAAGAAGGAGTTTTGGACACGTCCAACAAGACCTGACTCCATCTCTTGTGGTCAGTCTGGCCGGCCACCAGACTGACCTGAGCAACTTTAGAACTTGGTAACACCTTAACCTTTGCAGGGCTGTCTAACTATCTGTGTGTGTGCACTTGTCTCTTTTGTATGAATGAATGAATGAATGAGTATGCATGGGAATGAGTGAAGCAGACAACCTTACTGTTCTTTATTCTTTTCATGTTGCACGTTTTGTCTCATGTTCCAATAAATGTGGCGTTGTGCTTTATCCCCTGATAAGATTCCTGCTTGTTTTTAATTCACACTGTACACCCTGTGTGCAAAATAGCATCTGTCTGCATATGTGTGTGTGTGCATGCATGTCTGTGCATGTCTGTGTCTGTGTGCGCGTGCGCATGTCTGTGTTCATGGCAGGGAGAATGTGTGTGTCCATGTACAGAGAGTGAAAGTAGAGTGTACGCCCATGTGTGCGTGTGTATGTTTGGTCATAGTGGGGGAGGGCGGGGTAAAGTAACAGGGAGAAGAGGTGGGCATGTACGTACCCCACCCCCAGCCTGGCAAAGTCCACTCAGCCAGCCCTGCCAGCAGCAGGAGGGGAAGGGGCCCCTTCCCGTCCTCCCTGTAGGCCAGTTCCCATGGGGGGAGGGGGCCTCCAATTTTCTGTATGCCTAGGGCCCCAGTACACCTTAATGTGCTGGGATGGGGTGGCATGAGCCGTGGCTGGATGTGGGGCTCCATCCCTGTCTACCTGCCCCCATCATTCTTGATGGACAATTTGCTAGTTAAAATATAAGGACTGCAGGGCTAATGACATGGGATCTTTGGACTCTTGTTTTTGCCCAGCTGGGTGTGTTTCTGTAAACTTTACATAGAACTTCTGTTGAGGAATTCCCACCACTGTAACTTGAAAAACAATTCAAGTGCGAAAGGGAGGGATGTTAGTTGATTTGTGTTTTATATATGTTCCTATACGCTCCTCACCATGTCTTCCAGTACTGTGTGAAATAACATGACAAACATCGATAACATATGGCTTGGTGTCTCCTCTTCCCAGGAGAGGGAATCTCTAATTATTTTTTAAGATTTGGTGTTTGGCTCTTTTTTTATTATTATTATTATTATTATTATATTCTCACTGCTTCAAGAGCAGGTTGGACAGAGACTTGGCTTGGAGGTTTTAGTCAGGGTTAATCCTGCCTTGAGCAGGGGGTTGGCTTAGATGAACTCCTGAGGTCCCTTCCAACCCTCGCTGTCTTTGATTCCGTGTATAAGGACTGCAGGATTAAGGGCGCAGGATCTTCGGACTCTTCCCCAGCTGGGTGGCGTCATGGAGAAGCAGGGCTGGGAGGGAAAGCACCTCCAGGGGTCACCTAGGGCACTGGTTCTCACTTTTAAGCAGCAGGACCCATTTATAAACATCGACGGCTATTCCCCTCCCAGAAGCCCTCACTCCCGATCCCAGGGTGTGGGGTACGAAGCCCCAGGCACTCCCTTCCAGGCTAGACCTCTGCCAGCCTGCAAGCGAAAACCCTGGCTTCCCACTTAAGAGGACCCTTAAAGTTCTCGCGAGCGACCCGCGGGTTGAGAGGCTGCTGCAGTCCGCCCCCTGCCCGAGGTGATGTTTGTGTGACTGTCCACAGAGCCTCCAGCTGCTCTCCGCAGTGCTGGCGCGGGAGGAGTCTCCCCACTCCTCCCCCCGGCCCCGGGGTTCCCCGCCGCCGCTCGCGAGACCGACGTCAGAGCGGCCCGAACGCCTGCGCCTAGGCCGGCGCGCGGGGCGCCTGGCCCTTTAAGGTGTGGCCCCGCCCCCCGCCGCCCCGGCCCTGCTGCGAGCCCGGCGGAGCCCGGCT